ATTGGAATTTTTCAAAGAAATTCTCAAAAACTGCCAACGTTCTGAGGACTAAAAAAAAAATGCTTAACCTGGGATTTTTCGTGGCATAAATGTGAATTGAGAATTTTAACCGAGTTAACGAATACACTTTCTAAGCATTTCATCTTGAATATTAAAAAGAATGAACTTGGATTAGAACATTAGCAGCCACATTTTGCAAGAACTCTACGTTGAACGATTTGAATCATTGGCATAATAAACGCGGATCAGAATATAAAAAATACTTTGTAAATAAAATAAGTTTTTATTGAAATTAAAATAACTAGTTATTAAATTAAACAAATTAAAATTTTTATTCATAAAAATTATACAGTTAAATATAAAACTATTGTAAATATAATGCGAATTATTAATTAAAAATCTATTAAATAGATTAAACAATATTAAAATTTTTATTCATAAAAATTATACAGTTAAATAAAACTATTGTAAAGATAATGCGAATTATATTAAAAAAAATAAATTAAATAGATTAAAAAATATTAAATTTATTAAGATTAGCAAAATTTTTGTAATGAAAAAGTTCATTAATATTACTAATATTTTATTTAACAATTACCTATTTTCATATTTTTTTTTAAAAAAAAAAATTCAAATTTCGACAAAAGTACCTTCTTCGCTTTTTTATTTGGTTTTTTACTTTTCGCCAAATAAGCTCGAAGAAGTTCAGGTAATGGCTTATTGGGTCGAGAGAGGAATTCGTCACGTTTAGCGTTCCTAATGCTTGCGTTTTGGTAAGCTTCGGAACGCGTTATAGAGTCTATAAAATATACAAATTAATAAAAATTAATAAAAATAAAATAACAACTATTAATACCATTATTTAAAGCTAAATTAATCCTACGTGGCAACTCCTGCTGCCTCACTAACGAGGCCGCACCTATTTCCACATCGATCCTTCTTTTTTTAGAAGGACCCTCATCCCCTTGGCCGTCGTCTTGGATCAGGATGGTATTGGTCGCATCCTTGAGAGCATCTCTTTTCTTCCATATAGCTTCCAGGCGCTTGATATCACTCTATGCAA